CGTCTTGGTGTCTTGCCTACAGAAAAACAAACGCTGTAAGATGCAGAATGCTTTTCTGGATCAACGCACCAGACGCGGATGTAGTCGACCGACATGTACATCGGAAACGAGTCGCAAATGTTGTTGGTCACCTTGTGCTCCCACGAACCCGGCTCAGGGTGCGTCGCGTTGCCGCGGCAGCCTCCGACTTGCCAGTTGGGCGGTGTGGCACCTACACAGTCGCTTAGTACACTGCCCGTTACTTGAAGAAGATGAAGCCAACGCACCCCAGGCCGACGCCATCGCGACGTTGAAGATGAAGTAGCTCGGCTCTTCGATCATGATCTTGGGGGGATTCTTCTCCTTCCCTGGCGGGCCCTGCGGCGGGTTGGTCAACGACGCTGACGGGATCTCAAAGATCGGCGCCCCCGCGAGGTTCCAGCGCACGTAGCCTTTGTCACCAATAACCCTACACAAACAATGAGCACCCTATCTTTCCTCAGATTAGAGACGTACCACTCGAGCTGGTACTTGTAGTACGTCGTGTATGCCTCAAAGCTGATCTGCCAGTTGGACGAGATAGCGTCCATTTGATACTCGAACGGCTCCATCATCTTGGTTGGCACCTGCCAGTCCTTGCGCGGGTTCTCGCACTTGGAGAACTGGCTGTCGCGATCGCAGAGGAAGCCACCCTTGTAGCCGTTGGCAATCGGAAAGCACGTCCCGTTGTAGTTGATGCCCCAATGAAGAGGACCCTTGCCGTCGATGAGGCCCAGATCTGCATGGAGGTCACGGCCCGAGCTAATGGTCTTGACGTCCCACTGGTTGTCGATGATGGGGCCGTTCTGTGCCTTGGCGACCGAGTCGTACTGCTGCTTGAAGGCCTCTACCGGTGTGCACCGGTGGTTGGCCGCGTAGCGTAGGCCCTGGTACCACGACTTGTGGCCGCGCGACGCGAACGCCGACGTCGGAATGTCGGCCATGTTGGCCCCAGGTGTTGTACACGTCTTTTCGTAGTAGCAAAAGAGATGGCCCTGGCCCTTGCGACCTAAGAATCCATGTCAGCAATATGATATTGGGCAAACGAACTGGTTCACAGACCTTGGGGATCGGTGTAGTTGGTTCGTTCGTACTGCATATCCGGGAACTTCAGACGGTACTCGTCCGGCATGCCCGGCGCGATCTGGATCGACGACGAGATATCACTGCCACCGCCTTCGAGAATGTCGATTTCGGGCGACCCTCGACCTTGGTACGGGTTCAAACCGTAGCCAGGGTTCGCATCGCACGCAGAGATGCGCTGGGACGTCCGGTACCGCTCGTCGCACTCGTTGTACGTCCAGGGCCAGACACGGTTGGTCGATGCTGCAAACAGCGCCCGGCCCAAATTGCCCATCATCCAAAGGCCCGGCCAGGTTGGGTAAAACCGAATTTCAGGAATCCGATCCATGGGTTTCACCGGAATGTCCTTGGTGCCGTCCCAGCGCTTGCCAGTCACGTGCGAGTTGAGCGACTCCTTGTTGGTAGCACCGGGCATCTTGGCCGAGATCTCGACAAAGCCGCCTTGGACGCAAAACTTGTTCCAGGTCTGCATCATCGCCGAGGCATACCACTAAACGGATATAGTAGACGAAATTAGCGCCTCCTTGGGACTCGTGATTGGATAGAACTACCATCTTCTTGGACGCCCACGCAGGCGCTTCCGACCAGACGTTGTAGAAGCTCACGTCAATCTCGCGCGAGTCGACGCGGATGTGGAACGAGCCGTTCTGCGTAATCGCGTTCTCGGGCGTGTAGATGCCAATCGCACGGTTGACGCCATCGGGAATGTCGAGCGCTGTCCAGAGATGGTCTTCGCCAGCCGTAAAGTTGCGGCCTTCGATATTGAACTCGTCGCTCATGACGAGGTCCCACGTCTCGCCGCGCGAGCTCGTGATCTGGTACTTGTCGGCGGGCGTGTCGACGTCGATCCAGATGCCGACGCCCGACTTGGCCGGCAGCGTCGGGTCGTTCTGGTCGGCGCCGAGGACGGCGACCGAGCTGCATGCCAGTAGCAGCAGTGTACTCTGGCGCATGCCCATGGTGAATTGCGTTCTGAACACAATCACTGCCTTTTCATCGTGCTGGTGTAAAAGCGGATGCGAGATCCAGCAGCGCGAATATGATGGATATCGATACACGGCAGCGACCAATCGGAAGCCGCGACACGCCATCTGGGTTCGAGTGTCAACGACATCTTTCACCGCAAGCCGACAGCCTGCCGGTACACTAGTATCCTGTAGCTAGGGTCAAATACTGTATTGACGCTTGCATGTACTGTAGCTGTTCCAGTTTTCATGCCGTGTTGGATGCATTGAAGTAGACTCGCAGCGCCGTAGGGTAGTATTCATAGCTGTAGAAGAGCTGTCCACGGGATGCCCGTGGCGACTTGAAGAGTCCGGAAAAGAATACTGAGGTGGAACCACCAATCCACCTCAGGCCCAACCACCTACCGGTACTTGTACGATTTGCTTGGTATGATCTGCTTGGTCATCGTCCTTCGCTTATGCATGCGGTATAGGAGCCAATAACGAGTTCCCTTCTTTCCTACTACACCAAGAAGAGCTGCTCTCTGTGTACACGCGTGCTCGCATCCAGTGCAGACGTTAACCAAGACGAGAACCCTCGACCTCGTGATCACCTTGCCACCTTGAGAATCAATCCAACCAATATTTGAGTGTGAGGGGTGGCTGTGCACAACGAGAAGACGCTGCTGCCGACGGCAAATGCAAGTCGAACAGTGTGGACTTGTACGTTGAAATCGCAGCGTGACCTCGAGTTTGGTGCCACCTTCGTCGACTACAGCACTGCGCCGAGTTGGAGAGTAGCCACAGGAGTAGCCAGTAACGCAGCGCACTGCCGAGGGCTCTCTTAATACTACATGGCCAGAGACTAGTACGCTGTCTTCGCAGCGAGGTCGTTCAAGGTTTGGTTTTTCTAGACCTTGGCTGGTCCAGCACGACAGTTGAACATTGGGACGCTCTCTTGGCGATGCATACGTTTGTGGATGCAACGTGATCGTTACTGCGCCGCACGCCACAGAGGAAAGCTCCTGTCTTCTCCTCTCACCCTTGGTAGTTCAGACGGGTGCATTTGACGTTTAACCCTAACTAATGAGCCGTTTCATCGCGCTTCTTCCTTGTGTTCTTTGTGGCACATGCCGAGCGTTGCCTTATTATGTCTCACCCTTGGTAGACATTTCAGCAAAGCATGGCGGTGCTGCTGGCGTCGGCACCTTCCTCTTTTCCGTCCAATCGAGTTGGAGGCACGAATTGATTCTAGATGTCACATAGATAGATAGATAGATAGATAGATAGATAGATAGATAGATAGATAGATAGATAGATAGATAGATAGATAGATAGATAGATAGATAGATAGATAGATAGATAGATAGATAGATAGATAGATAGATAGATAGATAGATAGATAGATAGATAGATAGATAGATAGATAGATAGATAGATAGATAGATAGATAGATAGATAGATAGATAGATAGATAGATAGATAGATAGCCGTGCTCTGGCGCGTCGGCGGAACGTGCTACATCCAAGAGAAAGCTAATCCAAGTTACCCGATTGAAGAGCAGACGACCGCTTCGCATCTGCGTGCCCAGCGTCCAACACAAAATGCTTCGGGATAAAACATCACATGTAATCGGCTCGTGTTACCGCGTGATCTGGACGTCACTTTGGGAAGGCTCCCGGACGAGAAAGTGGGAGCTGCTCTCGCTGTGCTTCTCGCGCCGGATCTCTTCCTGCTGGCGCGCCAAGACACCATTGTTGCGGCGCAGGCGCAGTACAAGGCCGAGGACAGACCCGACGACAGCAAGACTGCAGACACCAGCCATCGCGAACAACGGCGGGCCGTACGTGACGGCCTCGAGGTCGTACTTGGTGCACCGGGGCCCCGTCCAGACGTCCATGCACTTGCTGCGGCGGTTCACACACGAGCCCGTGACGCTAGCAGCCGCCGTG